CCAAAGTCCGATGGTCTGCGCCAAACCCCGATGGTTTGACACGCCAAAGTCCGATGGTGCGGAAAACAATAAACTTTTATGACGTCATAATACTGCTGCACAAAAATGACAAACCGCGCCATGCCAAGCCTGATTTGTTTAAAATAATATACCTATAATAAATATTAAATGCAAAGATAAACCCTCAGGCTAATCTTTTAGATATAGGTGCAAAACTAACACTTATCAGTCGAAAAATATGTTAAAACTAGATATATATATTGGTGTTCAAGAACTAACCCTTATCAGTCGAATAGTCTACAAAGACTAGGCCTAATAGACATTTGCGAAATAGCGTACAGCGAACAGCGGACTTCGGACTTCAGACATTTAAGGCGGACTTTTATAAGTTATAAAAGTCCGCCTTAAATGTCTGAAGTCCGAAGTCCGCTGTTCGCTGTACGCTATTTCGCAATTGTCCAATAGCTCTGGTAGGAGAATACTAAGCAATATCAGTAAAATGTATATGAGACGAATATTGAATCATCAGATTTTGAATGCAGGACAACGTCATGACGTCGGACTATTGTGACGTCATAAACGTTGACTGTTCCTCTGCACCATCGGACTTTGGCGTGTCAGACCATCGCACTTTAGCGTCGCGTGTCTCATAGGAAACCAACCATCGGACTTTGGCGTGACCATCGGACTTCGGCGTCTGTTAACACCGCGTGCCATCGGGGTTTGGCGCAAACCATCGGGGTTTGGCGAGACCATCGGACTTTGGCGTCACCATCGAACCTTGGAGTCTTACATATATATTACTATAGGATTAAACGTTCTTTTTTCAGAATTTATCGATGTGTAAACTCTGCCTTTTTACTCACAAACTGAATAAAAGTGCGAAGCACTTTTATGTAAAGTTTGTGAGTAAAAAGGCAGAGTTTACACATCGATAAATTCTGAAAAAAGAACGTTTAATTCTTATAATTTCAATTACGATTTTTTTAAATTATTAAAATTATTTCCCTTTGAAGCCGCCATACAATCCGTTATTTTGTACGGCGTAGGAATACTTTAATGTCACCGATGCCACACACTCTCTACCATCGGCTCATACATTCACCTCTGTCGTTGGCTCGCGTATATCACAGTGTTAAACACGAGAAATAGTGCGTTTGTTTTAATTCATTATAATTCAGTTTATATGTTTATGTCTGACTTTTCAGATAGATATTTACTAAATTAATCCAGAACTATTAATTTAATTTGAAACAATCCTGCAAATATTACTTTTTATACGTTATGTCAAAAATCTTGACGTGAGCCCATTGCAGAGGTGTCTGAGAGAGGAACGAACGACAACTCTGCATAGGAGATTGGATGCCACAATGAAACGTGTACAAGATGAATATCGATAAAATCCAACTTAAATTGTCAAACCAATCAATAAATAAACTTATAAAAATTCATTGAATGTTGTTTAAGTCAACAAATATCGTAAATACGCGTATTCTCCAGAATAATTCGTCCTTGACCATGGCCATGTTGACGTCATGACGAAAGTTGAAGACCGACGACGTCCTTGATTTGCTCTGGTTCGTTCAAAGATTTAGGGAGAATATGGGATCTGTAGGATGTAAACATATGAATTTGATGCCAGAAAGGCAAGAGTATGAGGTACGTTTCTTTTCCCTATCACAACCATACCAACTGAGCTGATATGGAACGTCGAGAAAATGACAGCATGATCAGCGAGTTTTTAAAATTTACACTCGTGATGCGACAGTGACATAAACATAATTTTCCCGTCTGTCAGTCCTGTTTATTTCGTTTTCATTTATTTATTCGATCATTCATTCATTTTATATTTCAAGTTTTTGTAGCTAAAACGGACTAGAAGTACATGTAGATATCTGTTTTCATTGTTTTTACAACAGTCAAAAAAGTAGTTCTGATTGAAAGAATTTATCGATGTGTAAAAATTTTCTGGAACGTGTTCTCGTCCAATCAAAACACAGGAAATCAATAGATAAAATGAAGATTGGAATTATACAGTTTTAAAATAATTAATTAAAAAAAAAAACTTTTTTAGCTCATGTCATCCAGTGTTTACTTATAAAAGAAAATTCATATTCAGCTAACATTTTCTCCGGTACCACTGAACTAGGTTCAAATAATAAGCATCATTAGAGTTAAAGCACGTAAATTTATAAAATGAATATCTATACTCTATTTTTTCTTTGGGGGGGGGGGGGTATTGGAAAGATTTAGAGTTTTGACAAAACCTAGAACCAATTGACCTTTATTGCAAGATTTTAAATTTAAAGAATATTTAAAATCAATGCGGTCTCAACTTTGTGTTGTATACTAAGTACTTCTGTTTTTAGAATGAAATTCGGCACTTTGAAGCCAAACTCGGAAAGAAGCAGAAACAGAGTTGGATGAGCTGACATAGAATTGGACAGGAAAAACATGTAAATAATTCATTTAGTAAAAACATTAGCTTTTTAAAATGAAATGATAAATCATTGAGATTTCTTGGAATTTAATTGATTCCAATAAACATGCTTTGCATTCATCATCATTCCTCGAGCTCTAATAGAAATGGTTCTAAGTATACTATATGACGGCAAAGCTGTATAATATTATTACATTTTAATTTTATCACTTTTTTCAGATTATGAGAATAAATTATTACAGTAGAGACCATTGATGATGGAAGTGAGTGGATAGTGTTTCTGGAGACTCAGGGATCCAGAAAAAAGATCCATAAATTGTACAGTGTATTCACGAAAGTGGATAGAATAAAATGTTCAATCTAAAAGTGACATTGTTTGTTTGTCTGTTAGCATTTTTTATTGATATAAATCTAATAACTACGTATCAATTTTTAGCATGCAATTTCATAATTATTAGATAGTCGAAGAAGCTGAAACATATCTTTATATTTTGCATTTTGAAGTATCATAATTAAAACAAGGTCAATATTAAATGATCAATCAATTAATGTTAAATGTTTTTGTGAGAAAAAAGAAAGAGGGCTAATTTATATATTGTACCTCATGTTGGACTGATGTTGGAGTGAGTAAAAAAAATGATGATGAACTAGTTCAAAGTCAGATGACACGTTCCTCAAATTTATGTTTTGTATCTCTAGGTATTATATATATGTAAAATATTCATATTTGTCATTCTCTTCTGATTTCTACATTGTTTTCGAAATGTTTTTAGATAAAGGAATGCCCATTAGGGTTATTAATGAATATCTAGGGTCAGTTCAAGTTTAGACATTCATATATATATATATATATATAGCTCTTCATGATTTTTGTTTTAGGCACCAGTATAGATACTGAGGTCTTAGCTGTCTTGCAATATCGTTTCTTAATAAGGACAGCAAGAGAATATATCATCGCTTCAATACCAAAGGTTTCAGTCATTCATTCTTGACAGACATGGTATCATTTTTGAAAGTGCATGGTCTGGGATAGGCATAAAACTGCAAGAAAAAAAAGGGGGGGGGGAATTCTCCAAACTCGCGGGGGGGGGGGGGTAAACATCAGGTTATGTTGAGAAAAAAATTAGGTGGGGATGTCATCCCCCTACCCAACCCAAACCTAATGCTACATGCCTGATTGATATGGTTTTACTTTAAAATTATGTGAGCTGTCATAGTGACTCTCTTTCATAAACTATAATTATTGTGAGCAAGCTCATAAAAAAAATGCTATTGCATTAAATGTTTTTATTTCAAAAAATGTCCAAATATTAATTTAAAACCTTTTTAAAATTTTGCTAGTGCAGATATACATACCAAAAATGACTATGACATATATGTATTCTCAAGTCATACATGTTGGTAGTGAAACTGTTGTGTTGAGCACAAACTTCCAATAAATATGTAAATGTGCCAAACTCATATAGTAAACTTTTACTGCAATGACCTTGAAAAAGCTATGTCCTTGAGTCAAGGTCAAACATGTCCAAATGAACTTCAAGGTCATGACAAACCTACAGCTCAAAAATAATATCCGAGATGAAACTTCAAGTCTTTTCATTAGAATGTTACAGAATGGGCAAAGATTGCACTATTCTTCTACCAATGACCTTGAACTTGTTCAAATGACCGTGGGTAAAGTTTTTGACACATCTCTAGATCACAAGCAATCTTAATATCAAGTATGAACTTTCAGTGGAACTTCATTGAAATGTTATGGACAAGGCAAAATTTTACATACATATGGATTGGTGAACAAGGTGATTCCTACCCCCCCCCCTTTTCCAAGTTTCGTTAATGAGGAATGTAAAATTCCTTTGAAATTAAATATGCATTTATTTATCAACAATAGTAAAATTATGAGTATGCTTTGATCAGAACAAATATGACCAATATAATGGACACTGTACTTGTATTCAAATTACCCCGTCCCTTCAAAACAGCTTATAAATGCCAGATTGTCACACATTTTAACCATTTGTAACTTTTTTCTACTAAAGTTGCCTGCAAATTTTATTGTATAGATATTACATATAGATAACCCCTACCAAGATCACATCATTCATTTTTCCAGTAGTGGTTGTAGATTTTGTGTAAATAGTGATAAACATATGTCATTTTTTCAAAATTAATTAGCATTGACGCCATGTTCTTTTTTCAGTTGTCTTGGCAACAATATGACTACAGAAATTTTGTTTTTCCTATTTTTGGAGAATAAAGTAATTCCATCTTTCAACAAATAAGGTAACCAAAATACCTTATCTTATCACGTTCAGAAAAAATATTCATAGAAAAATGGCTAAAAATCATTGATTTTCAGAAGGATTTATGAATCCGTTGCTAAGCAAATGATTTTCCTTGGATACTAGTCCCTTCATACCTTCAAAAAAATCATTAAGTAGGACAATATCTTTAATATACCAAAAGCTTTTGAAAAAATAAAATTTTGACTTTCCATTTAATGCTCGATGCTTGCTGATTTTGACTCTTAATGATAACAGCACGCCATACAATAGGGGCCGTAAGTCTCGTTTAGCATCACTTCCGGTGATGCATTTCCGGTGACAAACATGGCTATATCAATACAATATTGGGCTAACTATACAGCCGAAAAACCGAAATTAATGAGAAAGTCCGAGAACGCCGTTATTAGTAACCACGTTCTTAAGTTCTTATTTGATCAAGAGACTAAAACAATCCATTCGGTAATTCAAGCTTCGATGAGGAACACATCATATAAAGTCACGGTAAGTGTGAAGGCTGTTGAGTGTTGTGTACGTTTACGTAAACATCTCTGACAATATTAGACAATACTGAAAATATATCGCAATCTGTAGCGCTTGTACAAATAAGACACTGTGAGGTTTCCCCCAGACACCCCTCCCGATGTCCCAGTAAAAACATGCAGAAGATAAATGGATATCGGAAAGGGGGGGGGGGAGTCCTGTGCTTCGAAGGTGTTCATATTTAACATATAAAACATAAAAATTCGAAAAATAGAAAGGACATTTGATACATCATTGCTGGTTATTTTGAATAAAACATATTGACAGATGTACTAACTAACCAAGTCTAAATATTAGATATTTGTACAGTAGGTAGTATAATAATAATAATAATAATACTTTATTTAAAGAGGGTAACCCGATTAGTGCAATGCAATAGTCTTCCTCGGGGCCCTCTAAACACATTCACAATAATACAATATTAAAAACATCTTACAATATTATAATAAATAATACAACGTGACGTGAAAAAACATGTACATATACAGATTGATTCAAGAACATGAAATTATATAACTTTTAGTTTCTACATGTTATAATGAATTTTTCTACATTTTTACGAAAAGTTTGTACAGTTGGTGAGAAACGGATATGCAAAGGTAATTTGTTCCATAAATGAACTCCAGAATAATGAAAAGAATTTTTAAATTGATTTGTTCGATATTTTGGTAGATGAAGGTCATAGTTTCGTTTCAGATCGTAGAACATAACTATTAGAGGAAATAAATTCAAAGGAGTCTCTTAAATATGTTGGTGCCATACCATGAAGTGTTTTGTACAGTAATACATATTTATGAAAATCAATTAACTCATAAATGGTCAGCCATCCAAGTTTTTCAAACAATGGTAGTGAAGGGGCATCATAAGCTACATCTAAAATAATCCGGGCTGCCCTTTTTTGCAATTTAAAAACTCTATCTATGCCAGCACCTGGCGCATTACCCCAAATAGTAAGACAATAATTCAAAGAAGGCAGAATGTATGCATTATAAAATATTTTTCTCGTGTGTAAGGGAAGAAACTTCTTAATTCTGCGTAAAGTATACAATTTATAAGTCAAAGATTTACAAACTGAGTCAATATGATAATTAAAGCGCAATGAATTATCAATATGTACTCCCAAAAGCTTTTCAGATTCAACATTTTCAATTAATTTGTTTGACGCATATAAATTTAGTTCAGGGGAATTTATTCTTGATTTTCTCTGTTGAGTTCCCATGAGCATACATTTTGTCTTGTTGGTATTTAACACCATTTGATTTTTGGAACACCAATTTTCTATCTGACACAAATCAGAGTTTAGGGCATTTTCAATATCTTCTACATTTTTATGATATGTATGTAAGGTTGCATCATCAGCAAACATATCAATATCTGTTCTATTTACATGTAAAGGGAGATCATTTATATACAATAAAAATAATAGGGGACCTAAGATAGATCCCTGGGGCACTCCTGCTGTGACGGGCAAAAAATCAGAGGAATATGTACCTATTTTTACACACTGAGACCTTGAGGTTAAATAAGATTGAAACCATTTAATAGCCATTTGGTCAAAGTGATATGATTGAAGTTTACTTATAAGAATATCATGATTAACCAAATCAAATGCCTTGCTAAAATCGATGAAAGTTATGCCTACTAAATTTCCTTGGTCCATAGCTTGTAGCCAATTATCTGTAAGTTTTGTTAGAGCCGTTTGACATGAGTGAAATTCTCGAAATCCAGATTGTGATTTAAATAAGAGATTAAAGCTAGAGGTAAAGTTACGTATCTGATTGGCTATGTGTTTTTCAACTAATTTTGATAATGTTGGAAGAATGGATATCGGTCTGTAGTTCCCTGGATCTGCGTGGTCGCCATTTTTGAAAATAGGAGTAACTTTTGCTTGTTTTAAACGGGATGGAAACACTCCATTAGTGATGCTAGTATTTATAAGATGTGTAATAGATTTGCATATAACATTTGCCGAAAGCTTTAGAAGACGAGGTCCAATCAGATCTATACCGGCTGACTTGTTTACATCAAGTGTATTCAACATATTTAATACTTCAAACTCACTTATATGATTTATACTGAAAACATTTTCTTTCCCTAGTTTAGTTTCTGTAAAACTATTTAATAATTCTGAATCAAAACTTTCTACTGACATATCTGCTAATAATTTACAGGATATTTCAGTAAAGTGTTTGTTAAAAATATCAACAATATCCTGTAAATCTTCGAAATCCGTACCATTTTGTGTTATACGGGTAGGTGTGAAATTTTTTGAATCTGATGCCAATTGGTTTAAATAACTCCACATTTCTTTAGGACTTGAACTATCTTCAATTGCTGATTTGTAATACTTTGATTTGGCTTGATCTATTAATTGTGTGACTTTATTTCTCCAAAATTTGTAATTTTCTGAATTTCTTTGTAGGTGGTATGTATCACGTAAATGTCTAGCATCATTTATTTCCTGTGTAAGCCATTTAGGTCGAATTTCAGTCTTGACTCTTTTAGTTTTTACTTTGGCATGCTTGTTAAGAATATCATTAAATAATTCATAAAATTTATTCATGATCTCGTTTGTGTCTTTTAGCTCAAGAAGTGAGTTAAAATTTGCATTTTCTAAATCTCTTAAAAACTCATTTTCATTGAATTGTTTAAAATCTCGATATTGGATTTCAGTATGTTTTCCTCTACGCTGTATACAATTAGTTTTCCGTGTCAAACATACAGGGTAGTGGTCAGATATAGCAATAGGGGGTACATTTGTTTCACATATGTTTTCTGGTTTCGTTGTATAAAAATGATCAATTAAGGTACTTGAGGTACTTGTTATTCTAGTAGGAACAGTAACTATCTGTGAAAGTCCAAACTCCTCTAAAGCAGATGCCCAGTATTGTGGGGGGTCTTTCATTAGATCAATATTGAAATCACCTGATAAAATTATTTCAGTATCGTCACAGCAGGAGGCACGGTTCACCTCCCTTGCTAGGTCCTCCGCCCAGCAGGAGGGGGCAGATGGTGGACGATAAGCAGAGCAATAAAATATAGGTTTTGAATTTTTCAGATTTATCTCTAGCCAGATTGTCTCAATGTTACTGATTTCTAAATCAGCTCTACGTTTATATGAAATTTCATTTGAAATGTATATTAAGATTCCACCACCTGCCCTTAGTAAACGATCTTTTCTTTCAAAGACAAAGCCCTCAATATTCAATTCAGAGTTGCCTATCTGCTCAGTCAAAAATGTTTCACATAAACCTAAAATATCTAAAGTTTGTCTGTTTTGAAGTAATAGTTTAATTTCATCTTTTTTGGGGATAATATGACGAATATTTAAATTTCCGAATCGTAAATGATGATATACATGTAGTAGACATCTTTTCAAACTCATGAGCATGGTATTTGTTATTTTATTGTATTGTGTTTATACAGGCAAACTTAGGAAATTCTTATGAAGTCTCAAACACATCTTGCGAGTGTCCCTTGGGAAAATATGAATGTCATCATGTTGCCTCTGCATTACTCTATGGGTAAGAGATACTGTAGATCATTAAATTTCGCGACACCTTATTTTAAAGAGGTAGTCATTGCCTCTTTATTAGCGAGATAAAATTATTACAAATTTGGTGATTGCTTTATATAATCTCCAGGAATACTAATATATGCGAGAATCATATTTCCTTGAGCATTTGTCTTGGGTAATTATGCGAAAATAAAGTTCTTGTGAATAAAAAGTGATTTACAGTACATTTAACATATTATAAAGTATCAGGGGCTGACAAATAGATTTTTCAAGCACTTGCCCACGGGCAAGTGCATAGTCAAATTTCACTTGCCCTACTTCAATTTTTACTTGCCCCACCAGCACTTTATATTCATCATAATGAATTAATTTGTCTCTTAATCGAAAAAAAATTTAGCCTAGAATTATTATTTTGAATATTGGCGACATTTAAAACCACCTGCCATTAAGTACTATGTACCATACAATCTGTTGATTGATGGTATGCTGTTTTATGTCCAGTTCCAGAATAATATTTTCTTTCATATAGAGATGTAAAATTGCTATCATATTTCAGCTATAGTCATGATATCTGCTATTTGTTTAAAATAATCGTTTCAGACATTTATTTTTTTCTCATACCTGATATGCTTAGACGATTTTGTACTGAGTTTTTCACTAACATTAATTGTTATGGACGATGTACTTATCATTGGCTTTCGATCGTTTTCTGCCTCGTATAACTGTCAAAACTTTCTCCATTTCTCCAATGCCAATTTTTCACTTTCAATTAAGTACAAATACATGTACCGGTACTTAAAACTTTCGGTAAAACTTAATTGTAATGAATTGCATAATGATGACACAATTAAACTGGTTCGCATACGAAATGTGATAAACAAAGGAAGATAACTCTTATAGCAAAATAATTTTGATTTCGTGGAAAACTATGACATTTTAAAAAATATTTATTATTTGATTTTTTTAAGTCACTTGTTTACAGACATTAGTGCCTTTTAAAATTCACTTGCCCGCCTCTAAAATTCACTAGCCCCGGGCGTCGGGCAATGGGATTTGTCAGAGCCTGAGTATAAAAAGTCTAATGACCTGATGATTGATCAAGATTATTTACATGTTTTTCATTTATGAGCCAGAAGGCTGATAATATGATACTTAAGTAAACAATGAGTTATAACTTCACAGATACAAATGTGTTAGCAAGACTGACATTAAGTGTGGATGGTTGAAGAACACAAAGACTTCAATTAAAAAAGACATAAAAACAATGGAAGAATAACTGAATTGTTTCCACCTGCACGCCCGGATTACTGGTTAGTATCTATATTTTAATTATTTTTTCTCAGTGAGGCAATATGTATTTTCTTTTTATATATATAGTTATCGATATCTCAATCTAATTAAAATTAGATCTTTGATCCGCTCCAGTTTGATCGCTACACAAAATTAGATCTTTGATCCGCTCCAGTTTGATCGCTACACAAAGATCTAACGAAACCCCATTTGTAGGTCAAATCCAGTGACCTTTTCAATCCACCAATCAGCGCATTGGCTAGAGAATCTTCGGTTCAGATTCTCGTTATCGGAATAGGCGTGATATTATTAATACAACCAAAGGTGTTCCGCATGGAGAAAATATGGCCGCGGCCATTCCGCAAGTAGCGAGGACGCCACAGAAGATTTACAGTACAACGAATGCATGTTGTCTCTGCGGATTTTCTTTTGTGGTAAAAGAAGTAGACAACGAAGGCAACATACAAATAAAAAAATTAGTGAAACTTAAACTTAGGTTAACCGAAGAAAAGCAGACAGCTATTCGGGATGTCATACAGACTGATCTTCCCCCAAACGCTGAAGGTGTCTGTGTAAGGTGCTTTGGGAAGGTTGAGAAAGTGTTGAAGTACCAAAAAGAAATAAAAGACATACTGACAACATTCGAAGAGAACATGAAAAGAAATAGGGCCAAAACGCCAGGATCTTCCACCCGTAAAAAAAGAGGTCGGGCTTCTCCCAAGACACACGACCAAGTAGGTCAAATTTAATGAACTGTGCTAATTCACTTGTGTTTTTTAACACTGACAGAAATTTAAAGCAGAGTTAAATTTTCACATAGTAGAATATAACAGCTGCAGAATATATAGTAATTTCACAGCAGTCTTAGTGATTGTCTAACAGACACATTGATTTTGTAGCCTATATCCCTAAAAGATTTTTACCTTATTTTTAGTTTTAAGGTAAAGATCCATACCATCCTATAGAAATAACGGAACTACAGATTTTGTTGAAACTTTTCAGAATCTTAACTGAGTATTTGTCCTTTCTAGATCAGTGTAAATTTTGGGGTCAAACGGGCCTCCTTTTGAAAGGATTGTTACTAAAAATAGACATTGTTTCGTGAAATTACGGAAATGCTCTAATTAAGATATTTATGCTAGGTTTCTAAATGTAAAAGCAAAAGAATTTTTTTAACATATGAATTATAGAGAAAATATGGTTGTTTAACGGTTTAATTATTTTTTTTTAATCTGCTGATCCACCTAATATTACTTTCTAGGGCAAATTAAACATATTTAGCTCAAAATTATAAAGTTCATTGTTAGTAAAAATAAATTGCTGCTTGGTATTCTAACTACAGATTTCTTTTAAAAATTAACACGTTATTTTCCAATAGTCTCTCTCTTATATGGCATAAAAATTAAGTGGGGCAGCGGGCATCAAACAAGAAAATTTCACATTTTTATACCAAATTTGCTGAAAAATGATTATTTGAAAAATCTTCATAACATCTATACTTTTATGATTTGGGTGCAAAAATCGCTTTAAATATTTAAAACTATCGTTAATAGAAAATTAATAAGTATGGTTTGAATTATAAGTTGAATATTTAATGCAGAGACGGCCAATAATTCGTTTTCGCGATTTACAAGCATTATATTAATCGGGTTCAATCTTCGGAATATTCTATATACCGTTAATGCGCATGTGTGACGTTATGACGGAAGTGAAAGAAGAAAACACTTTCAGTTTCAACATTGGTCGTTTGGATGCGATTTATTTGATTAAAAAATGAGAGAAGTGGCACATTTTACTACTTTTTGTGTCTACGTAATACATTTTTCGCTATTCATAGATACAAATAAGTGGTTTGTTTGCCACATCTCTTTAACGTCTGGTTTCTGATCAAAGGAAAAGCTCGGATCTGTCTAAGTAAGGTGCAAGTTGTTTATCATGTTTTTATCCATGTACAAATAGATAAAATGTATGTAAGCGGAGATGAATATGTTCAGTGTTTCCACTTTGTAATGTCTGATCTAGGTTTTCCGTAGATAGAATGTTCTATCGTTAAAATGATATTGTCCTACGGACCCGGTTTAACGATAGAATTCGTTCCATGTATTCGAAATGTAGCAGAAAGAAACACGGGCGATAGTGCATTTACTAGGAACAATCTAGAGAGTTCCGAATGTAAACATTTGAATGGAGAGAAAAACGTTGAGAAAATTAATTGGATTTACGTATTTATATTGATTATTTTTTGGGATAAAAGGCATAAGCAATCTCAAGAAGGTTTGTTTTGATTATTTTGGTAGTTATTCCCAGTGCAAATCATTTTATATTCTTCAAAATCGTTTCGGAGCGGATCCGCTCCGATTTGCTACGTTGCAAGTATATGGGACGTATTCTAACTGTGGTGAGGGCCTGTACCGAGACACAGTTAGATTATTCTAACTAGGTTTTCCGTACCTAGGCTAACTCAAATTCGTTTAATAAATTCTAAACACCAAACTCCATAGTTGATGACTGGAATTGCATTGAGTGCATCATTACTAAAACTTTGAAAATTAATTAGTAAAATATGAACACATTCTACGGTGACATGTTTGAGTAATCTTATATGCCCATCTGTCTAAACTCGGTCAACATGCTCAGACAAACCCTTACTTTCATATAATGTGAGATGTGAGACACAAGCTTCTTAATACATGTATGAATATTATGGTGCTATTATTGAAAATGTGAATCAAGACTAGAAAATTATTGAAAAAGAGAAAGAAATTTAACATTTATTCTATAGATAAGTATGTGGTTACTGTTTATGTTTCTTTAAAATCAATAAGGTTATAAAATGAATTATCTGAAAGAGTTCATAATTAAAAGGGTTAAGTTAGTAAAATAAAAAAATTATTTGTTTGATGTACTCTGACCAAGCTGTCAAAATCACCCTTACACAATAATTATTTTCAGCACTTATAATTTTTTTTCTCGTTTTCCATAGAATAATTTTTATAGGATGCTTCTTGATTGAAATTTTCATGGTGGATTTAGGAAAGAGTGTGTGTGTTCCCCTGGAAATGGCAGTTTTTTATTAAATGTACATACTAAACCAAGCAGTACAATTCTCTGTCATCCTTGGACTTTCAGTAAGACGTGGTATTCTCGGAACAACAAATAGTTGTTGACAATGATGAGACAACTTAATCCCTTACTTCTTTCTCATATATGTATGGCCACATATATTTCAACAATGAATGAAAGCTGTGTAAATTTTAGAGGCTAATTATATATAACATCAAGAATACCACACCTTACTGTCAGTCAAAAGATAACAGTGAATTGTACTAAAAGTGACCTTGGACCCCTCCTTGGAAATGATCTTTGTAAAATTGGTATGAAAAGTCACCGGTATGATGCTTTAAAAGTCAACGGCTCCTGGAGTAAATAGAATTTTCTATGTTGAAGTGATATTTTGATATGTATCCAGTGAGCATTTGTTCCATGAGTATTGACACAGATTCTCGAACATGTAATTGTCTGAGCTGATGATTATAAGTACTGAATATTTAATTTGTATGTATAATTGTATATTAAAAATAGCTGAGAAATGGTACATGCATTATGAACATGGTGTAGTTTAAAAAAAAAACAAACTCTTTCTGTTGCTCTATGCCTAAAATAGATTTAATCAGGACATCCAAAATGGTTCAATTTGACTTGTACAAGAGTTTAGGCAGTTCAATTATACTTCTTCGAAATTGTTTTCTAACCAAATGAAAAAAATGAATGAATTTTTATCATGCCACATGACACAGCATAAACTCCTAACTCATAAGTTTGGGAAGGATTCTTCATTTATTTGGGGGAAAATGGTTTGATATGAATTTTGCATGCTGGTCCAATAAATTATCTGGATTTTTGGAACTGTGTTGCACAGTGCATATTGATGTTAAAATAGATAAATTTGAAAAATTTAAAAATTTAAAAAATTTAAAAAGAACAGGACAAACTTCTTCAAGAATTGACCTTTATATTTGCAACCTCTGTGTTGTCAAATATGCCTCAACTGGAAGAGCATTTCCGGCATGTGTATCCAGTGCATCGTGAGCATAAATACAGCTCTTACTGTGGAATGAAAACTACCCAGGTACATGTATATCATTTAATCATGTCTTTTAAGATAACTAAAATGAACAATTTCATCTAAGACAAAAGAAATTTTAGAGGATTTCTTTAATTTTATTGACAACACCATCAAACATTGGCATATAGTCATAAATGCAACAATTAACATACATAAAATAAAATATGAAAGAAAGCATATCAGGCTTAAAGTTGATTGTTATGAGATCTTTACATCCTACCTTTTTATTTAGTTTCCTCTTGGACTGTATAAATGCAATGAAAACAAAACAGCAGACCTGATGCAGCTGCTGAAAGATCTATCAGAGAAATATGTGCCACAGCGTGATGGAGAAATAGTGGAGGAGGTTTTTTTTGGAGGTATGTTTATTTAGATTTGTGTATATAATGCAAGGAAATTATAAGCTGAAAAAGAATCATTCTACTGCATAGTATCTTGAAAAAGTTTTGGCTGTGGCAAGAATAAAAGACAATTTAAGTTAAGAGTAGTAGCTTTCTTCACGTCTTTTTAAGCACTGGATAAACATTCATTAAAGTATTTCAATTCAGGAGATAGATTGACAGATGAGCGTGTTCAGTGTGCCCAAGCAGCAATGAGCAATGCAGAAACACCTAAGAAAAGGCTCGAGGGATTCATATCAAAAACAGAAGACTTCCATCGATTAATGAACTTCTTGGAAGTATGTTTTCACATTTTTCTTGATAATGTTTATTTATACACTGTACTTATATAATATGTAATATCTAATGATAGTTTTAGAAACAACTGGAAAATAATTTTAATATATGTTTATTAGAGTTCAAGTAATAATTTATCACTTTCTCATATGACTTTGTTGCATCTCTAGTAAACAAATTTGTGAATATTTTTCAGGCAATATTCAAATTGACATTCTCAACTGAAAGTGCACAAGACACTTGGACGGTTTACTACTACCGCAATTTACTTAATGCAAGAGACGTGAAAGGGAAAGTAAAGAATGCATATCGTCCGCACAAGATGTTGTACTACACCATTCTGGATGCAATTTGTCTTCTAATGTTTCTTGAAGAATTGAATATTGATGTAAATTCAGATATACCCTTGCCTAGCCACTTTAACGACTTGACAAATGATGAAAAAATACAGTGGTTGAATGAAATTTGCAGTAAAATACTGAAGAAATATTTCTTTGATGGCTCATCAGATGTTTGTGAACAGTTGCGTGAAATTACAGGGAATCCAGGTCATCCTGAGAACTATTGGGTACAAAATTTTGAAGATGGTCGAATCCGATGTCACTTTTGTCCAAAAACATATGCTTATGTAGGCTCGTTTAAAGCTCACGAGAGTAAAGTGCACAATGTCACCCTAGCAAAACAGTCCAAAGTGTCCAGAAAGAAAGATACTAAAGCAGATCAGCTTCAGGACTATGTTGTAATGCTTTTCAAGCTTGTGATGCTGCATAAGAACCTTGACAGTGCTGTGGACATGGGAGATGGTGAAAGATCTGTAAGATCAACTAAGTATGAACTGCCAATATACAACAAGACCAATAAGACAAAATACAGCATTGGATCAATTCATCTGACGGCACTGACATCTGGCTTACTTCCTGCAAGCCAAGAAGAAAGATTGAAAGCAAACAGATTCATCAATCTACAAGGTGGTCAAAATAACAACATAGCTCTGGATGAATTTGTCGAGATGCAAAATAGAGACAGCAAAGTAATTTGCTCAGGGCACCAAACAGAGGACAGTATTGTCCAGCATTCGAAAGAGTATCCACTTCTTATTAACATTGCAAAACACTATGACATTGTTAGTAGCATTAAGGGTAAGAAGGGATTCCATCATCTTCCTTCCTACAAACAGGACGTCAGAAAAATTCTTCAGGATCTCCAGGAGCTAAACATTTTAGAACATACCCCTAAGCGCATCTTGAAGTGTAAAGGCCTGACCACTGAGAGAAATCCATTCAACAATGCCTATCAAGGGTTGTCCACCATGATTCATCACCATCGACCATCATTTCCCTTTCGCCGTCTGCGTAATCCCCATATTTGAACTCAATTAATGTATATTCCTAATGCACGAGTTTGCATGAATTTTTATGAACATTGTATGAAACAATGTGCAAATAGTATCAAATGAGAGTCAAATGTTAAATTTATGTATTTTTCCTGGTCAGAGTAAAGAATCTTTATATAATTGTATTGGACATAATTTAATAGATACAAAATGACTATAAACAATGATTGTTTTTTTGCATATATCTTGTCCATTCAATTGTCAACACTGATTTTAGTTCATGTTAAAAATTCACAAGCTAAAATATTTATGTTTAAAAACCCTGCAGATTTGTTTATATTCTCTCAAAGCTAAATAAAACATTTTTCAATATGTTTATCCTTGTCACATATTGCTATCAAATACTTGTATATATCATATCTCATTGTTTATGTACTGCTCAATTACTGCAACATTTTGTAAATAAAATGTTAATTCTTTATTATCTAATTTGTGAAGAATGAAATCCAAAAGTAAAGTGTCACAGACTTTGAACAATATGTGGTGGATTTGGGTAATAAATTTTAAGATGAAATTGCTTAGGCCAGCTTTAAAGAATTAAAAGTTTGGTTGGCTTTTCCCAATTGACTTGCTCTAAACATTGTTTAGCCTCCAGGAAACATTTTTTATGCATTATGGAAAAAAGATAATGAAAATTTAGCTTTGATGTAACAATTTAAGGGGGAGGGAATTGCCCACATACCTAACGGAGTACTTGCACTGACCCATTTTTTTTAATCCCCAGTCATGACAGGACAAACAACCAAGCTTCTTCCATGCTCATTTTCAATAGGAATATGATAGATGCTAAGAAGTTTTAAAATACCATGTTAGAAAAAGTAAAACACTAAATTTGATTTTTACATTTTTTTAATGTTTCAATTTTGATTTGAATTTCCATTACTCAATATCAGTTGCATCACTACTAACACTATCTGAGTCTTCCATGACACAAGGTCCAAGAAAATACTGCTGAAGTGGCAGCTGTTTACAGTTTTTACAAGAGCACTCCAGTTCACAAATATCACAACAACTGTGAATCCCTGTTTTTAAAGAATCTAATTGGGATGTTGAAAGGAAATCTTTCATGATAGAAATTCGTCGACATGTCTGTGTTTTGTATATATGCTTTACACTGATATCTGCATGTTGCAGGTGATATTTATTGTACAACAACAATGCAATAGACTCCTTGCCATCACGGCCAATTCTTCCCACTTCCTGTATCAAGTCTGTGGTTGTAGACGGTATACCATATAAAATTACTGAATGACAGTTCACAATATCTATGCCCATTCCAAGGGCAGAAGTTGCTATCACAAGTTTTATTTGACTGTCACCATCCTGAAGATTTTTAATAATGTCACTTTTCTTTTCATCTGATGTCTCGGAATGGAACATATCTACTTTGTCGATTAATGTTGGGTTTTCATTACATAAATAATTGTACAACTCAGACACCTCCTTAACACTGGTAGCATAAATAATTGTGCGTGGAAATGCCTCCAATTCTAAAGAATCAAGTAAAAACTGCATGGACATTTCTATGGAGCTGTCAATTTTTTTAACATAGTATTTAATATTTGATTTATCTGGTGATCTTATAATTAGTGTCGTACATTCTTTTTGTAACCCAAGTTCCTTCATAACTGTTCTACGAATTGTCTTGTTACACGTTGCACTGACAGCCAGTAAATTTGCAGACGGAAACATGGACCTAAGCTCTCCTAGGTGCCGGAACCATTTCCTAAAGGCCAGCTGCTCCTCATCCCCTAATCCTCCCCTGCAAGTAAAATTGTATGATAATACATATGAAAATAAAATAAATAAAAAAGAACTATTTACTCAAATTTGTGGTTAAAAATGATTTAATTATTAAATGAAAATAAGGTTGCCATCGAATGGAGTTAATGAAAGACCTCAGTCATAAAATGCATGTCTCTTACCATGTGCACATAGTGTGGCATTCATCTACTACAATTGTATCAACTTTAAATTCCTGAAGTATATGCCGGAAGCCACTGTTGCCAACCAATACCTCTGGCGATGCAATAAGATAATCAAACTTGCCCTCCGCTATAATTTGGTCACTGTCTTTACTCTCGCCTGTAAAAATCAAAGTACTCAGAAGTACTGAAAGCCGGGCTCATTTACAGGGTAATGAACAAAGACCGCGATGACAGTTTAAAACAAGCCGATTCAGACTTTGAAAAGATGATTATATACACTTAACAAAACTTCTAAGTGTTCACTTTAATAAATGTATTTATTTAAAAACTACTTTATAGAATGGTATGATATTTTCAAATTATTACAACAAATGAGTCTTCTCAACAATTGTAGCAAGAAAATAAAATATCACCGATGAAAACCAATGTACCGTGACGAAGCTTAAAAACAATAATTCTGTACTTTGCGGCACGTGTTTCGTGTAATCAGCATGTTTTTGTTATCATTATCAAATCAGAAAAACTGGTTTCACTAAAAAACACAAAAGATTGGCAAAATGACCATTGAGATAGAAGAGAGAGCTGTTGGAATGTTGATATCTGAACCATCCTTTCACCATGACTTACTCACTTTTACTTTAGTTTTTAATTGACCTTGATATTACTTTTAAAAATTAACAACCAGTATCAAAACCCATTTAAACACATTTTTCTATAGACTTTGCTTTATTTTTCACCGCCAATTTATCACAATTTGAAAGTTTTGGACAAAATTTAACCAAACCGGAAGTGACCTTCGTCTGAGACCAAAACTTCGCATTACACTAGATTAAAAGAGTGTTAAATTGTTCTGAAACAATCTTAGAAACATGAAAACAAACAATTTCAATCGTATGAAAATGATTAAAAAAATCGGTGCTCGTAACAGTCTTCTAGATGCTCAAGCAGTCTGAATCATCCTTAAATCGGTGCACTCACGTGCTAAACACCCTACGATATTGACCAAAAGGCATCTGTGTGATGATACACTGTCAAATTCCTGGATCTGAATCTCATTGAACACATTTTGAATTTTCATAAGGAATGTCAAAGCCCCCCCCCCCTCCACACAATTTAAACGGTTTGGAAAGATCTATGCAGTGGGTGTGGCAGCAGATAGGCCAATCTCCTATTCTGGGGTACATGGTATCCAACAGTAAAGATTGTCTTGTAGTAATAAGAGCGAGTGGTGGTCTTACTCCATAGAGATTTTTTGTGTGAATTTTCATTTTGAAGATACATCAGTTCCTTGACACTTTGCTTAAAATTCTGACGAGATATTTACATGAAATTCACGCAACATTGAACTTAGATATGCATCATAAACCATAAATTAAAGAAGTTATTTATTGTAAACATTTTTTTCTTTAAAACTTAAAAATGTTAGGTGAACACTTAGAAGTTTGGTTCAGTGTATATCTATGTCATATATAGCATTAAAAAGCTTTAAAATTAATTAAAATGTAGTTAGAATTTAACAGCGTAAAAAATTTGTCACATGTATCATTTCGGGGTTTTACATACCAACAGAAGTAAATAAACACTGATGCAGCAAGATTATTTAAGGTCAAACAATTATGCACAGATGGGTCTTCAGCGGGGAGTTTTGCATCTAAGCGTACATCAAGTCATTAATGATGTTCCCCGCATTTGTATTAGCCTGATAGTACACCCTTTATTTATAGAATATGACGCAGACAGGGATACCTGTTGAATATACCTTTCGCATATATCTTAACCAAATAATTAATCATTGAAAACGATAGAAAGTATTTTATTATAATTATTTTTTGACAATTTCAGATAACTATGAAAGTTTAATTCAGTGATTGTATTGCCTCAAAGGTGATTGCCCAGACGTACTATATTCTAACTCGTAAATTTAATTTGGCGGTGAAGAAGCAGCATTTTCTGTTGCTCACCGTCGCAATAGCCGGGCATTTCTCTACGAGAAATGAGCCCGGCTAAAAATGGCTATAAATTGTATCATCTTGGTAGCAAACTCGTATTATCCGATTTTACCAGGCCCTACATAACATTTCAGAGCGCGGAAATGATGAGGGGGACTGTTTGATTTACCTCGACTCTAACAGTCGAAGATCCACATTCTTCCCCCAATGTTTCTGTAATTATATATTTTTTTTTTAAACCTACCTTTGTAAACTGCTTTAACATTTGGAATAGAGTTCAATCTGTCCACTTGATCTTGCATTAACGCAATTAAAGGCGAACAAACGATAATCTTTCCGACGTTGTAAGAGTCTAAGTCTGGGGATCTCTGAATCTGTAACTGTTTTCGGACAGGAATCAACATCTGATATGGCAACGACTTCCCGTATCCCGTTGG